TTCCTGCGCTGCCAGGCGAATTCAGGACCTACCCCCTGCACGTATAACACCCCAGCGTCCGTGCAGAGCCCGTTTTCACATCACATGTGCTCATCGTATGTGTGTTTATGTATACTGGCAACGCATGTTCATACTTGCGAAGCCAGCCAGCACCTATGCCCAGAGAAAGCCCACCCAGCAGACATTCAAACAGGGTACCTGTATGGAGATGAGCGGAGCAGGCAGTAGAAGAACGTGTTATTTCGTCTGATTGTGTAAAACCACTTCTGAAAGCACCTCACTTGGGCCTAACAAAATGTATTTTTAATGGGCTGAGTTTGGTCTAGTTTTTGGCTTGCTGTGCAGACAGCACTGTCTCTGCAGAAATATCTTTAATAGACTGCTATTAAAATGCTTCATCAAACTGAAAAATATTTTGATTTGATGGGGTGAACCCAAATGCCCCTTTCCGGATTTGTATGTCTTACGCGGTCTCCGAGTCCCTCTGGAGCACTGTGCTGGCCGGGGTTGCAGACTGCCGTCTCGCCTGCATGTTAACATCCCTGCGCCGGGTTTCGTAAGGCACAGAAAGAGCCCTGAGCCAGTCCTGCTTTCCAGAGGGAGAAACCCTGCTCGGGGGAGGTGAAGGTGGCCCAGCCGGCCTTCCCCTGAGCAGAGGGGTTTTGCTCCAAGGAGTTTCCCATGCCTGGTTATGCATCCTTACGGAGACTTCACCTCTGTGGGGACCTAAGGATTGAACTTTGCCTCCCCGTGCATGTCTAGTGCTGACCTTTGGTGTCTTTAGCCTTACCCGTGCCCACCAAGCACAGGATGGTTTGTGGGACCCTTCGCTTTAGCCTGTCCTCCCCATGTCCCTCGTCCCTTGAGACACAGCTGGTCCCCAGGGCTGTTGGCCAGCAGGCAGGGTCCCTGCTCTGTCACCTTCTGCTGGGTGTTCCCCCTGCCCGGGTCCTGGCCCCTCTTTGTCTGGTTGAGGGGTGTCCGTGCATTCAGAATATCACGGCCCACCCCAAAAATTGTGGTTTGTGAAGCGACTCTGCAGGAAGCCCTCAGAAACCACATCAATGCTGCCGTTAGCCTCACCCTGAGGAGCGACCAGCCCTTTGCTGCCGCCCTGGGTGGGAGCTCAGATACATGCTCGCGCTATCGCAGCTCCAAAATGCAAAGCCCTGCAGACAGGGCAGGCTCAGACATGAGAGCCGGGAGGTTTGCACATAGAGGAAAAAAAAAGGCCATGACTCCGGAGCTCGGATCACTGCTTTTCCAGCCCTGTGGAGATGCCAGCATGGGCTGAGATTGAAGGAGATGTGTGCCTGGTAGTGGATGGGCAGTTTGGTGCAGAAATCTGTCCCAGGCTGATGGGAGACTCTCGGAGGGGAGAGAGTGGGATTCGAGTCTCTGCTTGGCTCCCCGAACCCAATTCCTGAGCTCTGTGTTGTGGGTAAAAATGAGATGGGAACCACAGAAGACATTATTCGGGGGGGGGAACTGCAGATGGCAACGTGTGTAAAGCATATGTGCAACAGAGGTTTCTCTCCAGCTAGTGCAAGAAATGATTCCCTCTTCTTCCTTTCCAGCCATGTTTCCAGGTCTGTGTCTCCCACTACGACATCTCAGATACAAGCCAGGAAGAAGCGGAGAGGGGTGAGTCTCATTTGCGTTGACCAGGGTGGTTGTACTGTGTCTCCCTGGGGGGTCAGGCTGGTCCCAGCTGTGTGCCAGGGCTCCCCATGACATCTCCTGTGTGCGGTGGGGTGCTGTTGGCACGTCCCTACTGTGGGGGCACAGTGCAAAATCGACTTTACACTGTTCCCTGCTCTATCTTCTGCAGAACTCTCCCCACAGCCAATTGGAGATTTTTTGCAGAGGTTTGGCCTCAAATCTGGCAGAAAGGGGTGGAGATAGGGGTGGAGGAGAGCAATTTCACCTGGGGTTATCACACCAGTCAGTTAATGTTTCTTTGCTCAGCTTTTGCACCCAAAACATTTACTTATATGGCCCTGTTCAAAGTGCCTCTCTCAACCTGCCATAGCTGTTAATTAGGGCTTTAAACCTGTGAGCTGTGGCCATAAATGACCGTGGTTTCTTCTCTCCACTTGGAAACCTCCCGCAGATCATTGAGAAGCGGCGCCGTGACCGTATCAACAGCAGCCTCTCCGAACTGCGGCGCCTGGTGCCCACCGCCTTCGAGAAGCAGGTGTGCGTCCATGATTTCCACTCATCCTCCTGTGCGGGCTGCATTTCAGCAGTGTAAGGGTAGAGCCCTCAGAATGAGAAAGTCTGGAGCATTGCTATGTCTTTCTTATCATTATCACTTCAGGGAGTAAGTAGGTGGTGAAACTGGGTAGTAAAACAATATTAACAAATATTCAGGAGCCCTAGGGAGGATAAATTCAATCCAGAAAGTGTTTTGCAGATATGAAGATGCACAGAAACGGGGATTTTCAATTTGCATCAGGGGATCTTGGGAAGGAGCTCCACTTTCTGCTCACTTGATGTAAAAACCAGAGCCAGTGCCCTGGATGGATGCCCTGCTCCAATCTGAGCACTCCTGGGCTTCAGCAAGGTTTCAGGGAAGAGCTCCTCGGGAAAAATCCAGCTCCTGAGAGGCACAAAACCCTAGACCGTAAAATGATGAATTGCTCTTTTTTCCTGCTCCCAACACACAGGGGTCTTCCAAGCTGGAGAAGGCAGAAATTCTACAAATGACAGTAGATCACTTAAAAATGCTTCACGCCACGGGAGGAACAGGTAAGAACTGCTCTTATAAGCATACAGGTGAGGTGAAGGTGAAAACCTGGAAGGAAAATTCCCTGTCAGCCTTAGCAGCAAGCAATATCTTGGTGCTGGTGTGCTTTGCTGACACCAGCCAGCACCAAAACGAATGCTGCCCTGCCTGCTTCCCAAGGGAAATATTTTTTGAGGGAGGGCAGATGGACGTTTCCTGCCCTGATGTTTTTCTTATGTCTAACATATGGGTCAGCATCCCATACATACATTTGGAAGTCTTGGGTATGTGGGATAGCAAGTTCCAAAGACCCACAGGGACAGCACCACTGCTGTTGTCACACACCCTGCTAAAAGCTGCCCAGCCAGAGACGTGCTTAGTCCTGCTCAGAAATGGAGCCTGCTTCCAGAAAAACGATATTAAACTCTTTACCTCCTCCCTGGGATACATTTCCTGCAGAGGCTGAATTCTGCATGGGGACTCTGCAAATAAACAAGGCTTTTTTCCCTTTCTGTTCTTTTTTTTTTGTTTCTTGGTTGTTATAAGAAGAGAGAGGGAGCCCTGTGCAAAATTCAACAAAGGTCTTATTTGTACTGAGACCTCAGTACAGACCCTCTGTCCTGTTCCAGTTAACAGGATGGAGATCACAGCTCCAGTAAAGAAGCCTCTGGCTTGCTTACCACCCATTTTTGGCTTGCTGGGGACATTGCTGGCATCCAGGCTTTGGTTCAGAGCTGTAACTTGGTCTGGAACATTTGTTTAGATATTCAGTTTGACTGCACTGCAACAAAGGGCTGTATTGTCACGAGAGACCCCGGCAAGCAAAGTGGTCCAGTGCTTCACTGTGCTGTGACATTCTCTGTTTTATTGCTTATCGTCTCATGAAGCTGCAAATAGGGAGCAGAAGCCTAAAAACCAGCCATCGGTTGCATTTTATCTTGTTGATTTTTGTGGCTTAGAGCTTTCTTGGCCCAGTGGTTTTGGTTCTACCACTGTCCTGTGTCGTTCAGCTGGACATCTGTTTAAACGAAGTATAAAGATTGGGACCCAGGCACAGGAAAATGGTGCTAAGCTGTGCATCGAGGAGACACAGTGTCCCGCTGTTCTGCAAGACTGGGGATGGTCCATTTGCAAAGAGGGACCCAGTGCCCATCTAGCCCACAGTCATGTCTCCAGCAGCGATAACTGAGAGAGTCCAATTGGAAAAATTTCTTCCTTCCTGAGCACAGCTAATGAAACCTCTTACTCATCTCACATGCTAGAGTAAGAGGCTTCATGACCCTGGCAGTTTTATCCCGATGAGATAACCGCAGATGCTATTCTCATGCACGCAAATGTCCAGTCCTTTCGGACACCCACTTGGCTATCTGCTTCAGTAATATCACACGGCAGCAAAGTGCCTCAAGTGAAATACACAGTGCATTAGAGAGGGTAGTGAAATCAAAGCACATTCCTGAGCTCTGCATGGATTTACTGTCACCCGTGTCCTCTCCCTACAGGCTTCTTAGATGCTCGAGCGCTGGCCGTGGATTACAGGAGTATCGGCTTCCGCGAATGTCTCACTGAAGTTGTCAGGTACCTGGGCATCCTCGAGGGCCAAAATGCTGCCGACCCCATCCGGCTGCGACTCCTCTCCCACCTGAATAATTACGTGGCAGAAATGGAGCCTTCGCCTGTGGCCACTTCCCTCCTGCCCATCCAGACATGGCCGTGGTCCTTCCTCCACAGCGCTGCTGGCCCCGTGCAAATCCCCAGGAGGGAGGCTGCTCCCGCTCCGGTTGTTTTGACTGCATCTTCCCTGGCTTACCCAAGCCCTGCTGTGAGGCCAGCCCCGCTTCGCCGTGTCCCCAGCGACATGCTGCCATCCCGCCGAAGCTTCCTGGCCAGCAGGATGACCTCTTCCAGCCGGAGGGCCCGAGGCACGGGCTCATCTGCAGCCATAGCAGCCGTGCCCAGGATGCCGTCGCCAGCAGGCGTGTTGAGAGAGGGTTCGTCCAAGAGCAGCCAAATCGCGACGTTCCTCTTCTCGCCAGCCTCCGGTGGTGTCCCTGTTCCACCGGCTTACACGGCGCCTCCCGCCTTGGGCGCTGCTGCGCAGGGACCCGGGATCAGGGTTGGGACATCCAGGATCTGCCGCTCCTGGGCGACTGAAATCGGGGCTTTCTGACCCTCCCCTCCCCTTCGGAGACAGGGATTCTTCAGCACTCATTGCCCACAGGCCTAAGAACAAACTCAGCTGAAAAGGCATCTTTCCTGCTTTGCAGAAGCCAAGGATCCATCAAGAAAATTCTCTTTACTCTCCCCTCCCTCCTCGCACTGCCTTCCTTGCCTCACCATCACACGTCCTCTCCCTCGTGATGCCTGCAAATGTATATCACATGCAATTCGATGCACTTATCTGCACGCAGCTGTACTTCAGACGCTTCCAGCTATGAGGGAGGGGGCACATGCAGATCCCAACCCTGTCCCTCCTCCAGCAAACCCCTCTGCGGAGCCCAGTGTTGCTCTCCTTTGGAAAACAGCCAGCCTTGAAATACTGTCTTTTTTCCTTGGGGACTTGGAGCTGCCAGACAGAGACTTGCTCATGCTGATTCCCTGTGATGTGTCCCCCAGCTGCAGCACCTAATTTTGGTGTGGTGGGAAGGACGCAGCTCACCCCCCTCCCCAGCACTGCTGGCACCCGGCAAGGCAAGCTAGAGCCCCCCCAGCTCCCTTAACGAACTGGCTGCCTGCTAATCCCTATGCTTTCCTCGCGGCATTACCAGCTTTTCCCACTTATGTGCCCTTAAGGTGGAGTGAGGCAACAGCTTAACAGAGCTCGTTCCCACAGCCGAGCTGAAATACCGCCGTGTCTGCAGGGCCTGTGCTGGGTCCCTGCACAAACCGTGCAGGAGCAGCCGGCCAGGCCGCCTGGGCGGAGGGAGGGTTCTGCAGCCCTTTTATCGCACTGAGGTGTGAAGAGGCGAGATGAGGCGAGACAGAAGATTTCAAAGGGACGTCTGTCACAGAGAGGAAGGCTCTGACGGCCAAAGTGAGAAGAAAAGGCCTTTCCCTCTGCCAGTCTCCCCGCTGGAGCCGTCTCTCCTCCATCCCCTGCTGCACCTTTTTTTGAACAGCCGTGACTGCAAAGGGGGGGGAATGGGTCAGACCAGCCTGCATTTGAAGTGCCTCCCTCACTCTCTCTTAGCTCTGCATCCCTCACCCTCTCCTTCCACAATGTCTCTGTTTTCTTTCTTCAGCACCATGTTTTGGTCTCACATTGCTCATCCCTCTCCCTGGCCCAGGACAAAAACCCACTGAGGTTTCACTGCAGACCTCGGCAAGCTCTGGGTCTGCAGTTGTCCTGATTCCTGAGAGCTTTTTCTGCCTTGGCCTGTGTGCCCCTAGATAACTGACGCAGCAGATATGCCTCTGCTCCTCCAGCTGTCCTCCCCTCCTCTCTTCTTTGGGCAGAAAGGAACAGAAACTTGAAGCTCTTGAGCCACCCTGCTCCTGTGCCACGTCCCTAACTCCCATGGTGGCCAGGGCAGGGTCTCCCAGTGCTCCCCCTTGTCTGAACGGCCCCCGCTCCCTGCATCTGTGCCTTGACTTGCTGGGAAACACGTGCAGAATAGCCTGGACCCAGTTGCATGCCCACCCCAAGGAGTCTCGCCCACTTCTACAGCACTGTGACATGAAAAGAGAGAAAAGTGTGGAAAGGTCAGTGCAAAGAAAGGTAAAAAAGAGGGAGAAGATCTCTCTTGAATGGGAGAGGCTCTCCCCACGCCTCAGGTCAAACACGCAGCCGGTTAGACTGTGTGGATGAGCTGGTGTTTGCGTTTCTGCAGATGGTATCTGCCATGTGCATGTCGATGTATGTATCTGCTATTGTTTTGGAAGTGAGTCCCTCCCAGTTGTTTTGATGAAAGTCATCACACTTAACACACAGAAATGCCTCTGCTGCTTCTCCTCACCCTTGTCCTGAAGTGCCAGAATCAGCCAGGAACAACATATTCCCTTTTAATAAAGTCAGAGGAGGTCCTCGCGGATCCTGGTTGTTCCTGCGGCTGGTTGGCACGCTAGAGCTCACAGCAAGTAGCCCAGCCTCACTTTACACTGTGCAGAGCTGTTAGATTCATGAGCTGTGACATCCAGCAAAGGTGTCAAATAAAGTCTTTCAAACCCCTGTCCTGGTTGTGAAATGTAGTTTCAATGTGAATCTATTCTGCTAATCCAGCCTGCTCGGATGACTGCTAGTTTTGTGACAGGTGAGCTTTAGTTCCTGAAAAGCTTCAAAAAAGGTAAGATACAGCTTGTAAGGTAACATCCCTGCTGGTTGTTTTATAGCTGCTGCTCTTGGTAACTCTGGTCCCATGACTTTTTACTTTGTAAACCAGTACATGAGTCAAAATCAGCCGGATAGTCAGCGACGCTTGCCCTGAGATTGGCAATAATCCGTGGCTTGAGAACAAATAATTTCATTTAGCTACCAGCGTCCACAAAAATGTCAGGGAACAAATTGGGTCCAGCAGAGCCTTGCAGCCAGACGCCGAGGGCTCGCCTCGGTCTCCTGACCCTTTGCAAGGAGGACCAGAGTAACCCCTGCTGCATCTCGCTGTCGGGAAACGCTTTGGACTAAACAAAGAGCCACAGCTGAGAGCTTGTCTCTGTTCTGAGGAAAGGACCAGTAAATGATCCTGCTCATGAAAGGTACTGGGAGAATTTTCTGGGGAATGGTGGGAATTTGACTTCCTTTCCCATAACTCCTTCTCGCTCCAAAATGCCTTTCAAAACCGCCCATAAATCCCTGCCTTAAGTGCTGTGTTGGGAATTGCTGGAAGGGAGCAACTGCAGCTGTGATGGAGTAACGCAGCATCCGTCTGGAAGCGGAGAGAAACTTCAAGAGCAATAATAGGGCTATTGATGACGGGTCGTCCCGCTGGTGCCTGGGCTGCCCCGACCCGGCTGGAGGCGGCGGTGGGAGCTCAGTGCTCTGGTGTGGCCTGGGCCAGAGAGAGGAACCAAATTACCCTCCGTGGGAGGCAGGCATACAAACCAGCCCCGCGGGCTACAGTGGTAAAACAAAACAGAGACAGTGAAAAAAAACCACTTCCTGATCTCTGCTGATCAAACGGGAGCCAGAGCGGGTGGGAGGGCATCGGTTCAGGCCCGTGGGGTTTTCTCCCCACAGCAACATGGTGATTAGAACAGTAGCCCGGGACTGGAGCTTCATTTTTTTCCCCAGGGTTTTCTTTAGCCTAAACGTCTTCTCTAACACATCCTGGCAACTTTTGATCTACCCTGTAGGGGAAATCCCCGAACTCTCCACGCACTCTCTTCATCCTCATTCTTCAGGCAAAAAAACATAATGAAGAGGCCTATGGGAACGCGTGGGCTGCGTTCAGCACAGTCCGGCTGGGGTTGCTCGGTGGCACACAGCGGTGTTAAACACCCCTCCAGCTCCAACAGCGAAGAGGCTGGAACGAAACAGGGTCCTGACAAACGAGCTTTTGCCTGCTACTTGGAGGGGACAAGGCTACTTCCAGGCTGCGAGAGATTTGCTATGCAGCAGGTGCTCTAGCAGCGAGTCCTGTTCTCCCAAATTCCCCTGCATGAAAAACGTTGCTTATCTCAGTTCTGCTGTTGCTTGCCCTGGGTGAAATGCTCTCCCTCCTGCACTTCTGCGTTTTTCTGCTTGCAGTGCAATCCCGGCCTGCCCTCTACTGGTAAAATCCCAAAGCCAAGGAGAAGAAATCCTAAACCAGGGTCAGCAATTAGTTGAAAGCTTGCTATCCGCGTTGAGAAATGGATGACCTTTTATATTGACCATCAGCGAGTGAGGTAGTGCTCAGACACACGATAGCAGGGCGGCTTGGGAGGCCTCCAGGTGGTGGGTCTCACACCAGCATCACTGATGGGGATGGACTGGCGAGATGAAGACATTAAATATGTAACCTTTGCTCCAGGCACTGCTGAAGGTCTTGAGAGGGTGAACTGGGAGGATCTTGAGCATCGCTGGTCACCAGGAGCAGCTGCACTCGTGCGTTGAGGGTACCAAGGGAAGTGGGGTCCCTGGGTCGGTTTTGGGCCTTTGTGGGCAGAGGGTATCCCCAGTCCATAAGTTCGTGTCGGGAGTGAAAAGGACCAAGGAGGACACAGGAGTGTAGCTGTCTGCATGGTGTCCCCTGCAAAGGGGACGCAAATGTCAATAAATATGTTTCAAATAAAAGCCATTCTCAGTGTAGCCACAGCGGCTGCTTGCAGCCAAAGGGCGTTTTATGTGGAAACATGTTCTTCGAGCTCTGCTGTGTTTTGACTTTAGCTGTCAGAATGGGAGCCATTCCGAACCCCTTCCACTGCAAGACACTCGTCTCAGCCCGTGGTTTCCCAGCTGAGGAAATGCCGGGTTGCAGAGGACCAAGCCGCGAAACAGCGGCAAGCGCCAGGTGTGATCCCACCAGTGTGTACCAGTGCCGCTTCCCAGCACCGCTGGCTGTTGGGGGGAAGATGATGAGCTCAGGAGGAGGATGATTTGTGTCTTTAGAAAATAACCTGGACTGAAAATATTGCAAAATATCACAATTTACTTTGTTATTGTTACATTTTATTCTGCTACTCGCGATTATTTCACTGTAATGAAGGGTTAGGTATCATATCCCATTTTTATGATAACATCATATCCCACTTTTAAAGCAAATTAAAGGCAATGTAATGTAGAATCAAAAAGCCACAGCAGACCAGCTACCAGCCTCTGTAGACTATCTTAGTCCCCCTTAACAGACATCCATGGTGCCTGAAGGTCACTGATGAATCACTGAATCCCGTGCTGCTGTGTCCTCACGCTCTGCTGAAGATGCTGGAAATAGATAATTACGGGTCTCCCCGGAGCTGCATCTCGTGAGCGTGAAGCTGTGGGACAGTGGAGGGGGGTGAATCCCTCTGTTGTTCCAGCAGCTTTCTTCTGCATTCGGAGTTGTTCAGCCCTCACCCTAGGAAGAGGGACTGACAGCTCGCTTCCATGGGGAGATGTCAAGGACCCTTGGTCCCGCTCCAGGGCAGCCCATGATGTGACCTGGCGCAGTGCCGGGGCTGCCGCCGGAACTCACACTTATTTGAGGAAAAATTATGCTCTGAAGAGGAGGAGGCTGTGGGAACAGCTCCAGCTATGGCCACTCCTCATCTCGCTGC